AGCTTGCTCTTAATGGCATCCACTTACATAACTCTTAAATAAAATCTTAAGTGAATGTCTAAGTACCCCACTTATGGGATAAATAAAAAATTAAGGTTCATTGAGCATAGGTTAGATTAATCAATTGAATCTAAATTTAATCTTAGATCATTAATTGGACAACATAATAAGTTTAAAGGAATTCAAAATATTTCAAAGGGTCTTAAAATTTTGTTTAGGGTATGCCCTGAACACTTTTATGATCTTTTGGGTATTTTGAAGGACAACTGAACTTATTATGCTTTGTTTCAGAAAATCATTCATTAAAACTTTTATGAACACACCAAGTTATGCCCCCGGACTTGATAATTCACCTAAATCAATAGAAATGCCCTACACTACTTATCTAACATTAATTAACCCAATGCTCAAGGATTTGACTCTTCTATAAGGTATTTAAATCCTTGTAAGCAACTAGGGATATTTGTTTCTGATACATATGGATCATCGAGCTTGTGTAAGTCTGAGGTTTAGGTGGCTAGGGCAATGTCAATAAGGCTACTGTGTGCTAAAACGAGGGATATTATGTGAGATTTTAGAATAGTATTCTCTACCTTGAGGACCTTCAATAAGAGGAGAGGATAAGGACTGATGATATTATTTGTCGACTCTTGATGAGATGGTTGCTTCTGATACTCTTAGGTTGTTTGTAGTCCTAGCTCGATCAAAGTAATTAACATGTGGACTACACTACTTTGCAAAATACTTTCAAAAATGAAATTTCTTTTGCCTGATAAAGTAAGTTCTACATGCTTGAAAACTAAGTTTAAAATGAAAATTTACAAAGGTCCACTGTTGATCACTTGGCTCGAGGTTAGGAATGCCCTCTGTAGATTATTGGGTTGGTAGCTATTACTCAAGGTTGGGAAGCACACGATTCAGCTTAAAGCCTCCACCTTTACCAATGCCTTACACTTAGTCCTAATTTTCCATATGTTATTACGGGTGTTCTTTTACTTATTCGTATTTTGGTACGACTTGTTTTTTTGACTTTTCCAGTACTGGATACTCCTGTTCACTTTCCTGTAATTTATTATATTCCCACAAATTATATTATGTTTTATTATGCTAACCATGCAGCGGTAGTAGAGACCCGTGTACGCATTTACATTTTATGTATTGCAATTTTTCTTATTTACCTTGTACAGTTCTTTTACCTGCATTTATTTACTTTACTTGCCAAACTAAAAACAAAACTGAAAAAAAAATACAAAACATATTTTTATAATTAAGTTTACCTTTTCAAAACAAAAAACAACATAATACGCTCTTTTGAATTTACGGGAGTCCCTCGGATGAGGTAACCTATGACTGCTAACGAGATCTCTCCAGTTTAAATGGGGCTTAACAACTCGTTTAGAATAAATAAATTCATAAATAAAATAGTGGTACTGAAATGAGGGAGTCCTGAGATTCTAACCGGTGTTACTCTAATCAACTTTAACTTCCTTAAATAAGACATTTGACAACAAAACTAAAACAATGAAACATACATGATAAAACCTTCGGAAACTTGGACCTTAGGACTGCCAATTCGAAGAGAAGCTTGGAGCAGAATTTATGGGCAATATGACGAGAATATACAGAAGAAAAACTTTGAGATAATAATTGGAACTACAACAAAAATCTTCTCTTAGAATTAAATAATAAGCCATAGGATTTTGATGTGGTGTGCCTAGCGCGAAATAAATCATCACATTTTCTTTTAGGTCTTTGCATAGCCATATTGTGCAATCTAAGCTCTAACTCGCTTTAAGCTTCTAGGTTGTCGTGCTTCACAATGTAAACTCTCCTATCTTCTAGGCTGTCTATATGACCGTGTCATGAAAGTGTAAGTCCTTAATAATAATAATTGGTAGGATGGAAAAATAAATAATTTTCACTCAAAATTGAAGTCACACCATAGGATAACTTAGGAAGTCACCGATGTTCTCCTCAGGATTCGTAACATCCCCCTAGTTTTCTCTCTTTGGATTCCAAAATAATTGCTCATATTTGACCTTTTCCCATTTGAAACTCTTTTTGTTTGACCATGAAAATCCTAAACTTTGAAATTCTTGAAGGCAATATTTTCTAATCTGCATCGAGAGTTTTTTTAAGTGACTTGGTTATTTATGATGTAATTAACTATAGGGGCTTGCTTTTATAGGAAAATTTAGAAACCGACTTAATATAAACCCTGTCTAATCTTCCATCTTAGATATGAGAAATTTGTCAGTCAACATAAATGTTTCACAGGCTAAAACGGATGTCAGAATTTCTTTAGTTTAATTAATTGAGTCTCACTATCAAATAATGTGTCTATTATATATATATTCCCATGTTGGCGACCGACACCAACGCAACACACACCCAAAACCACCAACAAACACATCACCCTAAGCTACCAACACAACCTCTATATGCCACCAACAAGCACAACACCCACATCCACCAACACAACCACCTACACACACACACACATTCATCACCAACCCACATACCCAAGCCAAGCACAACAAAAACCCCAAGCCACCAACAAGCACATCACCCACAATCACCACACAACCTCTACTTTTCACTAGCAAGCATAATACCTACAACCACCAGCACAGCCTGCACAACCACCAATACACACACACATCCACCACCAACCCACAAACCCAAGCCCAGCACAACACACACCCCAAGCCACCAAAAAGCACATCACTTACAACCACCAACATAGCCTCCATATGCCACCAATAAGCTCAACACCCACAAGCACCAACACAACCTCCACAACTACTAACAAGCTCATCACCCACAACCGCTAACAAAGCCTTCAGAGCCACTAACACGCACATACTCACATCCACCACCAACCCACATACCCAAGCCTAGCACAACATGCCTCCACAACCACCACCACAGCCTCCAGAGCCACCAACAAGCACGTCACCCACACCCACCAACACAACCTCCACAATCACAAACATACACATCACCCATAGCCACCAATCGAGCCTCCACATGGCACTGACAAGCACAACACTTACAACCACCATCACAGCCTCCACACCCATCAACACACACACACACACATCCACCACCAACCCACAGACACAAGCCCAACACAACACTCACCCAAAGCCACCAACAAGGACATCACCCACAACCTCCAACGCAGCCTCCAGCTAAAGCAACCATAACAACGAAGCAACCTTAAACAACCATTAGAGAAGGAGAATCGTGCAAATCCTTATGCACACATTATACTTCAATTTATCCAAAAAATGTAAAATATCCCAAATAAATTTATAAAATTAAAAAACTGTAGAGAGATAACCATTACAACAAAAAAAACCCGCAACATGCATATGGAAAAACATTGTATTAAAGAGGTCCCAACCCGAAAAATTGAGACAGCTCATCAACAACTAATCGAAAAAACAAATCTCTTACAAATATGTCGATAATTGAGCTCAATGGGATGACATGGCCACTAAAATGCATTAAAAATAAAATAAAACGCTTGAAGCTAATGGTGCTAGTTTCAGGGCGTGTTGAGTACCAAACCCTTATTTCTAGATCATAATTACACTTAAGAGAAGGAAAGAACGACATTAAAGAGGTCCAAATGTCAGTCTTTCGCTATAGGAGTGATGAAAAAGAGGAAGATAGAGGACGATACCAGCGGGACATGGGACACCATGAATGAAGGCGTGGGAAGCCGACTCGGGGATCTCGGAAAACAGAGGAAGGAGAAAGCCTAGATTTGTCGATAAAAGTAACGGAGGGAGAGGCGAGAGAGAAGTGGCCTAGGGAAACAATGCTTGAGTGAGAGAGGTGATGGACAAAAGAGCACAAGAGGAAACAAATTCAGACACAGGATTGAAGACGCGGGCCGCGAGGTCAATCCCACAACCTTGTTTATTAAAGAAACCCGATCAACGTTTTAGGATACACAGGTAAAATGCGTAAAACAAACACTGAGTTGCTTTTTCAAAATGCAAACGGAGCGTATAAGCTGCCCCAAACAGGACATTCATCACGAAAAATTATTCCATACGGAGCACTTATGCAGCTCTGTGTGCGAACTTCCAGTAACATGCTGCCCCATGGAGGTTACTGAAATGAAACCGCATAGATTATTGAGGGGCTATTGGTGTGTTATTCTGAGGTATTGCGGGGTTATGCAGGGGGCAAAGATTATTTAGGGGTTATTGAGATGTTATTATGAGATTATTTTGAAGGATAACCGTGGGGATTATTGAGAGTGTAACAGCGGATGTTATTGGAAGGTTATTGCGACGTTATTAGAATTAATGTTCTAATAACCCCAATTACTTACCCAATAACCTCTGCGGTTCCACTTCAATAATCTCCGCGGGAGGTGGGTCTGATATAACACACATGACGGTATTGCGGGGTTATGTAGGGGGCAAAAATTATTTAGAGGTTATTGAGATGTTATTATGAGATTATTGTGAAGGATAACTGTGGCGATTATTGAGAGTGTAACAACGGATGTTATTAGAAGGTTATTGCGGCGTTATTAGAATTAATGCTTCAATAACCCCAATTACTTATCCAATAACCTCTGCGATTCCACTTCAATAATCTTCAATAATCTCCGCGGGAGAGGAGATGGGTCCGATATAACACACATGACGACATATTACTGGAATATGCATGTAATGCTGTGTACGCGTTCTGTATGTAAAAATTTCTCCTTCATCAGAGGCGATGAAAGGTGATAACTTGTGCTTATGAAGGGCAATATTTTTAAATTAAATGCCACCATGATAATAGTCCTTGCACGCTAGAATACAAAAGGGCCGCTGCAAGAACTAGCGCTAATTCTCTATCCAAGACGGATCTCTTGCCGGACCATTTCGAGTACAATGCTGGGATCTGACTGCAGGTGTCGACTGTGCGCAGGCGCTAGCAGTAAACTGTAATAGCCCGGTGTCTTGCACGCCACAGGGGTGCACTTGTACTGATTCTTTCAGGGCTAGGTAGCACGGGGTACGGTGCACCTCGATAAATTTCCCAGCAGATGCCCACGCCATCGGGTTCGGGAGTCGGCTGAGGGAGGTCCAAGCTCTTCTTCCTCGGTAAAGGCCCTAGTTTCTTGATCTTCCGAAACGGTTTCCCCAACAATTCTTTTGGGGATGGCTCTTCGGAAGTGTTCCTAGGGCTGGGATCCATCCCGGCGTCGTCAAATCATATGACGCGTCCGCTGGTTATTTCAGTTTTCTTTAGGGTGACGGAACTTCTGAAGAGATTGATATTGACTAGATCGCTTCGATCCCGAGGGAAATGGGTCATGAGCCTCCTCCTCCCCCTCCGGGAGCCCTTCTGCAATGGAGAAGTCGGGGCCGACCGCGCAAGAAACATTATCGCATTGATCCGGTAGAGGGGCGAGTGGTGGGCGAGGAATCAGCCGAACCCAGGGCGAATGGTTTCTGTATAGGTACTTCTTGTTTGGGTAGTATGGCTCACTCTGATGAATTGGGGAGTAATGCGGCACAAGCTTCTAATGGAGGTAGCGATAAGAGTTCGGTGTATCCTTCGAAAGAAAGCGCGTCTCTGGAAGGATCCAATGTTGGAGAAGCCCTCATGGAGGGAGTCTCACCTGTTAATTGCAGTGTCGGGGAGTGGCGCGATGAAGATTTAGGCGTTGAAGGGGTTTTGCGTAGTTTGGAGAGTAAATATGAGAGGAACATGGGGAAAAGGAGAAAGATTTCCAGACAACCGAAAAGCTTTCTGGATATGCCTCTGCGGAGGAGCGCTCGTAGGCCAAGCACTATTCAGCCGTCTCCTCCTGATACTTTTGTTTGTAAGAATGAACTTGTCTCTGAGAATGTTGAGAGGCACGGCAATAATTTTGAATCTGGTACATATAATTCTAAGCCCGCATTGCCGCCTTCATCCAGTAACCTGGATGTGGTTGGCCTCCCTGTCCTTGATCTCTTCTCTGTTTATTCTTGTTTTAGGTCTTTTAGTAGGTCGCTATTTCTGAGTCCTTTCCGTTTGGAAACACTAGTGGCGGCATTGAGGTGCAATTATGCTAACCCTTTGATTGATTCGATACACTTCTCTCTTCTGTACGCTCTCAAACCTCATTTGAAGCTTCTTATGGAGGAGGAATTTAAGCCAGCAACCGATTGCCTTAGGTATATGCCCTTCTAGTAGTTCAGTTTGTTTACTTTGCATATGTTCCGCAGATATGAAACTCTTCTCTTCGTCCGCTTTCTGTTTTTCAGGAATCTTAACTGGGATATGTTAGATTTAGTTACCTGGCCTGTCTTTCTGGTTGAGTATATGCTCTTTTGTGGTTCTGCAATGAGGTCTGACTTCAAGCTTGCTCATTTGAAGCTCTTGGATTTTGAATACTATGAACAACCAGCTGAATTGAAGCTTGAGATTCTTCATTGTTTATGTGATGATGTTGTTGAAGTAGAATGGTTGAGGTCAGAGCTTAACAGAAGAGTGATAGATTCGGAACCCAATTTAGATTCTAACAATAATATGAACTCCTTGAGGAAACGAAAATATTCAATAATGCATGATGGAGAAAGTTCTTTGGCAAGAGAGGAAATTGCTGACCTTGCTGATGGAAATAGTGATGAATGTTGTCTCTGTAGGATGGATGGTAATTTAATATGCTGTGATGGCTGTCCTGCTGCTTTTCATTCTAGATGCGTGGGAGTGGTAAAAGATCTTTTACCAGAGGGCGAATGGCATTGCCCGGAATGCCTGGTAGATAAAGATGGAGTGGTTAGTTTGTTGATGCCATTCAAGGGGGCAGATTTTCTTGGAAGAGATTCTCATGGGCGACTATATTATGGTTGTTGTGGTTATCTATTGGTGTAAGTCTAAATGCTTTGTTATACATTCTTAGTTACACATTCCTATTTCTTTTTCTTAAACTTTCATCCAAATTGATCCCCATCCGCTTTGTTGCTTCCCAAACTTTGCTTTTGTTTATGTAGGCCAAAGTGATAGTTTTACCAAACTTAAGAATTTAAAAATGCGATATTTGTTTCTTTTCTTAATTGGAATATCCAATGGTAAACAGTTACACCTTTGCCTCAGGGTGATATTTTTCTTTAAATAGCCTAAGTGCAATTTAATCATTTGTTATTTATTATTTTTTATTATAAATGAAGCTAATATCTTTTGGGTTAGGGTTATGCATGAGATTGGATTTTGAGTCTTAGGGTTAGGATTTGTGAGATTTTCTACCTCTCGAATTTTAGATTTGAGAGAGATCATCTACCTCACGAATTGTAGCTGCTTAGCTTATGTATTCTTTTTGAGTTGTTTGACGTTACAATAAAATATTCGTTTGCCTTAATTTCCATGAAAAAAATCATCTTGATTCCTATCAAATAGTATCACATAAATAGATCCCGAAAAAAAAATCATCTTGAATCAGAGGGGATCCTTGCATACAGGCGCCTAGGAGTTTTGAAATCAGATACGGGACTTCTGGGAATGAGGTTTCATGCGATTAAACCTAGTAGGGATGAAAATGGCGAGACCGATGGGATGCGACCGAAGGGATAGTGTGATTCAATCTAGTGGAAGCATACGACATAATCAACAAGTGATTTCATCTATGAATCACACCTTGATCGCGTACAAACAATACAATCATGATAGGGCTCAGTGGCAAGTGACGAACGGGATCATTGCGTATGATGATGAGAATATCGTAATACAGTTGTAATTTGGCTTCATTCATGGTAATTGGGAAGATGAGATTGAGGCCCAATAACATCGCTTTCGTGACCCTACGAGAAGTTACAATTTGAGCTAGCTGGGAAGCCGAATGGATCACGACATACAGTTCTTGATTAAAATCTGTCTGGGAAATAATGACAGCTTGGAAAATAAAAGATTTGAAGAAGAAATTGGATGAAAAGGGAATCCACCTTAATTCAAGACAGAGGAAAAGTTTTTCTCCATTGAAATCTGATTCGAGAGATTAGTGGAGATGACGAGAAGGCTTATTGAGATGAAATATAAGACTGTTAGTGGTGAAATTTGCAAACTCTAACCGTGGGTTGACCCGAGAACCTTTGGCTGAATCAAAGGGAAAAGTGATTGTCGAGAGGAACACAGGGAGGAAATTATTAACCATCAAGATTTCCCTCCAAGGGCTCCAATGGAGGGTGGATTAAAGATTGCGGGGGGAGACGATTGGGTCAAAACATGGAGGAGTTATGCAAGTGGTTTGGAGGAGCATAAAGAAGGTATGAGAGAAATCGGGATGGGGTATGACTATGCTAGAAAGAGAGAATGTTTCCCTTGATACATGGGAGAAAACATTTGGGGAAGAGAAAGTTGGTGCGAATATGCTAGGGTTGGGAAGTTGAAAATACCGATCTTCATGAGAAAAGATCGCTTCGAAGAATTTTGTCTTAGGATAGGAAACCACGGTGAGCGGGACTCAGTGGAGGGCTGCATCCAATTTCCCCAGTGTTTTTTGTGGTTGCTTTTTTGGGAAAAGGCGATTTAGAAGTGATGATGGGAGCGAGGAAGGTAGAGAAGAGCAGGGGATTTTACAAGGATTGATTTAGACACTCCAAAGTATTCAAGAAAGAGACAAGATGGTGGTGTTTTGCGGTGACCCCAATTTTTGCAAGACGTTGATGATACTAAAGAATATGATGAAGGTGATTTAGGACGCAAGGCTGGGATTCTTGATTGAGTGGCATAACATGAAATAAATATATTATAAGAAGTTGACAAAAATTTCAGTGATCAATAAGGTACTAGATGAGTTGTTTGGGATGCAATATTTTCTAAGATTGATTGGAACTTAGGACACCATCAAATTCAAATGTGGTTGAAGGATGCGCACTAGATTATATTTTGAGATGATGAAATGGTGAGGGTCACTACCAGTTTTCGATTAAAAGGAAAGCATTGCAGGTCAATGATGCTGTGTGGTGTCCATATGACTGAATCTAACAACAGTTTTTTGCACCTAGAAGACTAGGTGTATTTGTAAGATGGGGGTATTGTTATGCCATCGCCTAAGGAAGATTTTGTCTTTTATTAGCATAATGACAATTTAGTATTTGTCATTTATTTTTATTTAGTATAAATAAGACTAATATGTTCAGGGTTCGTGTTGTACATGATATTGAGATTTTGATTCTTAGAGTTAGGGTTTGGGAGAGATTTCCTACCTCTCAAATTGTAGACTTTAGGAGAGATCACCTACCTTTTGAATTGCAGGTGCTTATTTTATGTATTTGTGTTGAATTATTTGATGTTCTTGTAATGAAATGTTTGCTTACATTAAACATTAACTTTTATGAAAAAATTATTCTGGAACTTGTTATAAATTGATAAACCAAAAATTTTAATGTGCCTGGTAGTTGTATATGCATTGTTAAAAATCCTTTTTTATCATAAAGTAAATAATTTTTTAATATAATAATAAAGTTTATATATTTGTTGAACGTTCATGCCTTTTTTTAGAATAGAGCTTTAAAATTATTTTAACAAGATTCTTAGACATGTTTATGTATTTTTGTTGATAATGCCATCTATATATAGCAAAACCATCTTTTCTTTATAAAGTATATTGGGTGAATATGTTGGCATGCTTTCAATTAATCTCTATGATGCAGTACATCTCTTAAATTGGCTAAAGTAGCCCACAAAGTGATATCGTAATTAACCCAAACCATAATAGAACAGACATATACTATTACCAAATATGTGGTTATAATTAAGACACTGGAAAGAGAAAATACAACTATACGACACCTGGAAATCTAAAATAGTGATAAACAAGACAAAATAATCAAAATACGGCTAATATCTTTAGGGTTAGTGTTATACATGATATTGGGTCATCATACTTAGGGTTAGTGTTTGGGAGAGATTTCCTACCTCTCAAATTGTAGGGTTTGAGAGAGATCACATATCTCTTGGTTTATAGGCACTTATTTTATGTATTTGTGATGAGTTGTTTGATATTTTTGTTACATTAATTTTTTTGAAAAATTTGTGTTGGATCCTATCATAAGCTGATAAACCAAAAATTTGAATGTGCCTGCTAGTTGTATATGCATTTTTAAAAATCCTTTTTTTGTCATCAAGTAAATAAATTTTTAATATAATAATAAAGTTTATATGTTTGTTGGACAGTCATGCCTTTATTTAGAAAAGAGCTTTTGAAATTATTTAAACAATCTTTTCAAGTCATGTATATGCATCTTTGTTGATAATGTCATTTATATATAACAAAATCATCTTTTCTTTACAAAGTATATGGGGTGAATATGTTGTCATACAACAACAACAACAACAATAACAAAGCCTTAATCCCACTATGAGGGGTCAGTTACATGAATATGTTGTCATGCTTTAAATAATCTCTGTGATGCAGTGAATCCTTTAAATTGCCTAAATTAGTTCACAAAGTAATATTGGAGTTAACAGAAACCGCAATAGAATAAATATATATTATTACCAAAAATAAATATGCGGTTACAATTAATACACTTGTAAGGGAAAATATAACTACATGACACCTGAAAATCTAAAATAACAACAAACACAACACAAATAATCAAAATAGGGCTTATATGTTTAGGATTAGGGTTATACATGATTTTGGGTCATGAGTCTTAGGGTTAGGTTTTGGGAGAGATTTTCTACCTCTCTAATTGTAGGATTTGAGAGAGATTACATACCTTTGAATTGTGAGTAATTATCTTTTGATGCACTTGTAATAAAATTTTCATTTGCATTATTTTCTATGAAAAAATTGTGTTGGATCCTATCATAAGCTGCTAAACCAAAAATTTTAATGTGCCTACTAGTTGCATATGCATCTGTAAAATTTCTTTTTTGTCATAAAGTAAATAACTTTTTAATGTAATAATAAATATATATGTTTGTTCGATGTTCATGACTTTCTTTAGAAAAGTGCTTTTAAAATGATTTAAACAATCTTTTTAGGTCATGCATATGCATCTTTGTGGATAATGTCATCTATATATAGTGAAACCATCTTTTCTTTATAAAGTATATTCGGTGAATATGTTGTCACACTTTAAATTAATCTTTGTGATGCACTACATTCCTTAGATTGGCAAAATTAGTCCACAAATTGATATCGGAGTTAATCTAAATCACAATAAAAAAAAATATATATATTCTTACCAAAAATAAATAGGCGGTTACAATCAACACACAAGAAAGGGAAAATACAATAACAGCACACCTGGAAATCTAAAATAGCAACAAAAACGACACAGATAGTCAAACTAGAGCGAGATCTTGGGGCAGTGGTGGTGATTGATGGGAATTTGGAAAGGTGGCGGCAAGGTGGAGAAGGGACTGGACAGTGGGAAGCAATGACACAATGATGGTCGCTTGCTGTCTTGGACGGCTGCACAAAGGAAAGAGCAGAAACAGAGACACTTTCCTGTTTGGGTGGCAGCAGCAAGATAGGCAGGTAGATAGCAAGGAACGACATGTCAAACAACAACAGTTTGCTGTTTGGGGTGGCAGCAGCAAGTTAAAAGGGTTTTGGGGCGGCTGTGAGGATTGAAAACTGGTAGGAATGGCTGGGACAGCAGGGTAACGACAATATCAAGTCATAGAGATGGCTGGGGGTGCCGGAAAGGGTAAGGACAACAACTCCTCGCTGTCCGGGATGGCAGCTGTAAGCCGAAATGCAGATGGCAGCAGCTGGAAGATGAGAAAACTGCAGGGAAACAGCAGCAAGCGGCTACTCGTGGGCGGCTAGAGTAATGGATGGCATCCGGAAGTGATGTGGGGAGGATGCGGAAGGAAATCGGGAAGATAACTACCATCTTGGGAGAGAGATATAGCCAGA